CGTTTGTGTTTTGTTCTCTCTGGCAAAAATTTTCCTTTTGGGTGGGAACTCTCATTCAATGCCTGGACAATCATTGTATCTTAGAAGTAGTTAACTTGCTTTTATTTCAGAGGCTGAGGGGCAGAAGGGACTGCAGCTTTGACTCAGATGAGACTTTGGGCTTCAGACGTCTGAGTAAATGTCGGACTGAGTTAAGATCTTGGGGATCTTAGCCAAGATGATGGGGAAAATCATTGAAGACGTTTCATAGCTTCACTTCCCGCTGGTAATTTTCTGTATGATCATAAGGAAAAGGGGTTTAATTGGCTCACGGTTCTGCAGGCTGTAAAAAAGTATAGTAGCTTGGGGAAGTGGTAGGTAAGGCATCATTGTATTTTGCATGGTGAGCAGGACATGAGCTTTTGGGAGGCAGGGAGAGAATAATAAGATTTGGCTGTGTGTCCCTCCAGAAGGTCATGTGGAATTGGAATCAGAAATGTGAACACTGGGGCCAGGTGGAAGGTAATTTAATCATGGAGGGCAGTGGGTGTTGGAAGGTGGGGACTGGGGAGAATGGGGGGATTATGGTGGGGGAGAGGGGTGAAAAGTGGGCATTGGGGGAGGATCCCTCACAAACGGTTAAACACCACCTCCTTAATGTTTCCTCATGACGGTGAGTTCTCATGATGGTTTTGGAGCTGTAAGATGGAATGGATACTGATCTCCCGGGTTTTGGACTTGCACTGGGCCTGTGACCCCATTTGTGTTATTTTCCTGGCAAACGTCTACCTTTGGATTGAGAAACATCACCCGATGCCTGAACCATCATTGTAGCTTGAAAGAAAAGAACCCCTTTTTCAATTCAGGGACTCATAGGCAAAAGGAACTGAAGCCTTTTCTCAGGTGGGATGTTGAACTTTTCACACTTGAGTTAATGCTGAAATGACTGAAGACTTGGCAACTTTTGAAAAGGCATAATTACATTTTACTTGGTGAGAAGGATATGATATTCGGGGGATCAGGGTCAAATAATATGGTTTAGCTGTGTGTCCCTACCTAAATTCATGCGTAATTGTAATCCCGAATGTTGCAGATGGGGTCTTCCGGGAGGTGATTTATTCATGGATGGGAGAGGGGTGGGGTCGGAAGTAAACAGAGGTGGGAAGGAGTAGGCTGGCTATAGGGTGGTGGGTAGTAGGAGGGGAACAGCCTGCTGCAGAGGCAGAGGCTCACGGAAAACCTCTACTAGGGCAGTGTACCCGTGGCTTTGCAGGCTTTAGCCCCCCATGGCTGCTCTCGTGGGCTGGGCTGGTGTTGAGTGCCTGTTGCTTCTCCATGCTGAGGGTGTCAGCTGATGGTGGGTCTATGACTCGGGTCTGGTGGATGGTGGTATCCTGCGTGGGGCTCCAAGTCTATATTTTCCTTCTGCACTGCCCTAGTAGAGATTTTCCAAGAGGCTCTGCCTCAGGCTTCTGTTTGGAAACAGTAGGGGGTGGATACGGGGTGGTGGGAGGATCCTTCACCAACAGTTAAGCACCATCTTCTTGATGCTGATCTCCTGATAGTGAGCTCTCATGAGATCTAGTTATATGACAGGATATGGCACCGCTTTCCTCTCTCTGTCTTGCTTCTACTCCTGCCATATGAAACATTTCATTGCCGCTCGGCCTTCTGGTATGATTGGGAGGCTTCCTGAGTCCTCCTAGAAGCAGAAACCACTATGACTTCTTTACAGCCCGAAGAACTGTGAGTCAATTAAACCTCTCTTCTTTATGTACAAACAGAAAATTAATGCTGCGAAATGAAGCTATGAGATGTCTGCTAGGCCTTTTCCCCAATCTCTTGGCTGTTAGTACTGGGTATTTTTCATGCAAATATTGGAGGCCTTCTTGATGTTTCCCCCTGATAATGGACTTTTCTTCTTTTATCACATTGCCAGACCGTGACAAAGCTGACAATGTAGAAGCAGGTTCCGAATGGGGCAATGGCCAGAGGTTAGAGAGTTTGGAGAGCTTGGAAGAAGACAGGAAGATGAGGGAAAGTTTGGACCACTGCAGAGACGTGTTAAATGGTTGTGATTAAAAGGCTGACAGAAGGATGGACAGTGAAGGCCAGGCTTAGAAGGTCTCAGATGAAAATGAGGAACGTACTGGGAACAGGAACCAAAGCTGTTTTGTTTTGCTTTAGCAAAGTAAGCGGCTACACAGTGACCCTGCCCTGGAGATCTGTGAAACTTTGAACTTGAGAGTTTTGTATCTGGTGGAATGAACTCCTAAGCAGCTAAGCTCAGGCCGACGTCGAACACCCTACGTTCTTGTGTGTGATCAAAGAAATGACCCTAAGTTGGAACTCATATTGAAATGAGAAGCAGAGCTTAAACCTTTGAAAAAGTTGCAACCTGGACAAGTGGTCCAAAGGAAAAGCTGGTTTTCAGGGGGAAGATCTAGAAGGCTGCACGTATTTGCATGAGAAGGAGCCCAGTGCTAATAGTTCAAGACAATGTGGAAAACGGCCTTGAAGTCCTCTCAGAGACCTTTGTAGCAGCCCTTACTGTCATTGGCCCTGGGGCTTAAGAGAAAAGAATGGTTTCCTGGGCCAGCCCCATGGCCCCACTGCTGTGTGCAGCCTCAGGACACTGCTGCCTGCATCCCTGCAGCTCCAGCTCCAGCCATGCCTGAAAGATGCACAGGTACAGCTTGTGTCACTGCTTCAGGGGTGCAAGCTCCAAGCCTTGGTGGCTTCCACGTAGCGTTAAGCCAGCAGGTGCATACAGCACAAGATTAGAGGCTTCAGAGCCTTCGCCTGGGATCCAGAGGACGTATCAGAAAGCCTGGGTGTCCAGCCAGAAGCTTTTCCAAGAGGCAGAGCCTCATGGGAAACCTCTACTCGGGCAGCGCAGAAGGAGAGTACAGGGTTGGAGCCTCCATACCCATTCAGGGAGGCAGCCTTTCCAGGCCCCAGATTCATAGACCCACCAACTGCTTGCACCCTTAGTGTTGAAAAGCTACAAGTATTCAACACCAGCCCAACCCACGAGGGCAGCTGGAGGGGAAAAATTCTGCAATGCCACAGGTGCAGAGCTTCCCAAGGCCTTGGGATCCCAGCTATCACACCACCCTGTGCTCTGGATGTGGACATAGATTCCCAAAAGATGATTTGGAGCTGTAGGATGGAATGAGTGGCCTGCTGGGGTTTTGACTTGCATGATATCTGTAAGTCCCATCTGTATTTTGTGCTGCTTTCTGGCAAATTTCTTCTTTCTGGCTTGGAATGCTTACCCAATGCCTGTACAATCTTTCTACTTTGGAATGAGTTAACTTGCGTTGTATTTCAGAGACTCAGGGGCAGCAGGGATGGCAGCCTTATCTCAGAAGAGACTTTGGGCTTTTGACATTTCAGTAAATGCTGGAATGAGTTAAGCCCTTGGGGGAACGTTGAGAATGCAAAGCTGTATTTTGCAGTATGAGAAGGACGTGAAATTGGGGGACAAAGGGGAGAATAATATCATTGGGCTCTGTCTCCCTACCAAAACTCTTGTGGAATTGTAACGGGGAATGTTAAATGTGGGGCTCTGTAGAAGGTGATGTAATCATGGTGGACAATGGAGGTTGGAAGTGGGAGTGTGGGAGAATGGGGTTTCACGGCGCGGGTAGGGGTGGAACGTGGGGATGGGCGGCAGATCCTTCATAAGTGGTTAAACAGTATCTCCTTAATGCAGTCTGTGTGATAGTGAGTTCTCAGGAAAAATGATTGCTGTCCTGGTGGGTTTTGGACTCGCATTGGGCCTGTGTCCCAGTTGTGTTATTTTTCTGGGAAAATCTTCTCTTTGGGTTGAGAAACCTCACCCAGTGCCTGTACCATCACTGTAACTTGAAAGAAAAGAACTCCCTTTTACATTCAGAGACTCATAGGCAGAAGGGATTGCAGCCTTGTCTTGGATGAGACTTGAACTTATTACAGGGATTACAGGCAGGTGCTAGCATGCCCGGCTAATTTTTGTAATCCCAGCTTCCACTGAGGCTGAGGGAGGAGAATTGCTTGAATCCAGGAGGTGGAGGTTGCAGTGAGCCAGGATTGTGCCATTGGACACCAGCCTGGGCAAAGAAGTGAGACTCTGAATCAAGAAAAAAAAGAAAATATATAAAATGAAGTCCCTATAAAATGAAAACATACTTTTCATCTGAATATATGTATATACATATGTATAATATAGTTAATATTTTTCAAGTAAACTCTCTTTTGTTTTGTTAATTTTTTTCCTGAAATACGGCAGTTTTAATTTTTAGTTGGCTAAATCAACCTTCAGGATGTCTGCTTATGAGGCCATTCTTAGGAAAAGCTTTGTCAACATAAAATGTACCTGTAAACTAAGCATTTGTCTTTTTGCTATCTAGAGAAGCAAATGTTTTTCCACTCCATTATGAGATTCCTAAAACTGTCATCACAATAGTGAAAGACAGCAAGTGTCATACAAAAATGTTAAAACTTTGATATTTTCATTCGGTCTATGTAAAACTGACAAACAGAGAAAGAGCTCACATTTTGAGAAAAATGTGCCTTTCCATTCAAGAACACAGAACCCACCTCCCACTTCCAAGTGAAGAACCTACCTACACAGGTAGAAACAGATAGGCTGAGATAGTGCAGCAGTTGTTTTTTAAAGTAAAAACCTGTGTATTCTAGAGTTGTAACAGTCAAGTCAGAAGTACTAATAAGATGCACGTAATTACTGGCATATAGTGAAAAATATCACCACGAACAATCAGGTAGACCAGCAAGTATTTGGACTGAGTAACATAAAGAAGAGCATAGAGTAGGATATATTTTTTCGTGTAATATAGAGTGTTTGTTGTTGTAATCTGATGTTTTTGGTAATGTAAGCTTTTATTAGCTAAAGGGTTTTGTATGAGTTTTATCAATTTTTGGTTTTTCCTTTCTTGAGACGGAGTCTCACTCCGTTGGCAGCCCGGAGTGCGGTGGTGTGATCTCGGTTAACTGCAACCTCCACCTCCCAGGTTCAAGCGATTCTCCTGCCTCAGTCTCCCACGTAGCTGGGACTACAGGTGTGTACCACCGCGGCCAGCTAATTTGTCTATTTTTAGTAGAGATGGGATTTCACCGTGTTGGCCAGGGTGGTCTCAATCTCTTGATCTCTTGTTCTGGTCCCCCTGCCTTCCCAAGGTGCTGGGATTACAGGTAAAAGCCACTGCACTTGGCCAGTTGTATTAATTTTTAAAGTGTTAACTTTTAGTTTATGACTACTAATATTGTCATTATGACTGTTGTTGTTGTTGTTTTCAGCCTGCAGATAACTCTTATCTGACCCCCAGGTGATTTGAATATATCAGACTAGGAAAGCAATGGTGAAATCTTCCTCTAAATCATTGCCTACTTTAGATAAGCGACCTCAGCACAGTTTCTGGGCCATCAAAGGACTCTCAGTTAGCATCTTGTATTATGCCATACCCCAGTGGGGCAAGAGGATTCCTTGTGGTCCCTTCCTTTTAGCCTTGGTGATCATTTACAAAGATGAACACTTGAGCACCCTAGATGTTTTTCGACCCAAACTAGCCAGTCCATGCAAATGGCTATTCCGCCTACACTGACAGGCATATGTTAAAACGGTCAAGTGTGTCAAACTAGCTGTTTAAAAAAGTCTTTATTAAAGTTCTTGAGTGGAGTGATTTCTTTATTTTGGAAGAGCCCTCAAGCTTGCTGTGCGCTATGACTCGCCACGTGTTGTCAACCTCCTTCTTAAGCAAAATGTTAACAACTCTACTCAAGACATGTGTGGATGAGAGGCCGAAGATTACACTCCTGTGCGTTGACAAAGTAAGTATTTATGTTAAAAGACCAGTTAATACTAAATTGAAGTTGAAAATAATTGCAACTATTCCATCTTAAACATCAGGTGAGATATCATAGTTTGGTTCAGGTAGTTTGAAACAGCAATGAGTTAGTCTACCTATTAGCCAGAAAGCTGGTGATCTCTGACATGAGAGCAGAACTGAGTAACAAGGGGACGTTATATGTTGTTGGTCCATGTCTTGGAAATGGGAAAACGTCCACTTGCCTTGCCTTCATGGAACTGAAAAACAATTAAAGTAGGGTGCATACCATCACATGCCGGGCTAATGTCTTGATGGTTACTTTTATAGAGACAGAGTCTCATTCAGTTGCCCGGGCTGGTCTCAAACTCCTAGGGTGAAGGAATAAAATTGGGGGGTATGGCCCATTAAAACGAAGAAAAAAATTAATAATTCACAAAATTACATATTTCTCAACTGAATCAAAAATTTTATCTAAGGAACTTTGAATCCATATATAACAATATATATTATAGATTAATTATGTATTAAATATTAATATTTGTCTGTTAGTCTTGTCTGTTAGTTGGAGAGGACCAAGCAGATCCAGCATCCTAGCCCGGATCTGATGGCCCAGAGTGTGAGGAGGTAGAGAAGAAGTCGTAGATGTTCGAGCCAGGTTTTGATACCTGTTAGTGTTCTGCCCTTGGTGTGATTGATGGGCTCAGTGATAGGAGACAACTTGGTAATGTATTTTAATGAGATTTTATACATATATATTTCATATATAAATTAATATATACAAATATGTATATTATGTTAATATATATATGTATTATTATTTACATATTAATAAGTAATATAGTAATACATATTATATAATAGATAATATGTAATACTATATAATGTATGAAGTAAACAGTAATGTAATATAAAAAAATATATTAATATTTTAATATATATTAGCATATTATATGTAATATATTGTAATTATATCTAATTATAGATTATATAAAGTATATATATTATGTTATATATTATATATCATGTTGTATAATATATATTAATATTGTATACGTTAATATACATATTGGTCTTGTAGTTTGAAGTTGTTATACAATTATATAGCGTGTACAGCATACATAATATATAATATGTAATTGTGTATTATGTTTAAATATATTAATATTTAATGTTATATTATATTTAATATATAATTAATCTTTAATATATATATTAAGAACTTCAGATAAGATTTTCTGTTCAGTTGAGAAATATGTAATTTGTGAATTATTAATTTATATCTACTGTTTAATGGACAATACCACCCCACTTTTATTCGCCTGATTTGCAAGACAGAGAATGGTGGAATTTTTACTGAAAAAGCCAACACAAATGCCGTTGATAGGCTGAGATGGTAGAGCAGTTCTTTTTTCAAATAAAAACTGTGCATTCTAGAGTTGTAACAGTCAAGTCAGAGTATATAAACGCACGTAATTATTGCCATATAGTGAAAAATATCACCCGACGAACAGTCAGGTGAGCAGCAACTATTTGGACTGAGTAGTAAAGCACAGACCCAGTAAAGTTCACATTTTTGTGTAGTTAGAGTGTTTGTTCTTATAATCTGATGTTTTGGTACTGTAAGCTTTTCTTAGCTAAAAGGTTTTGTATGAGTTTTATCAATTTTTTTTCCCTTTCTTGAGTCAGAGTCTCACTGGGTTGCCAGTCTGGAGTGCAGTGGTGTGATTCGGCTCACTGCAACCTCCACCTCCCAGTTCAAAGTTATCTCTCATCTGCCTGCAGTCTCCCACATAGCTGGGACTACAGATGTGTACCACCGCGGCAAGCTGATTTGTCTATTTTTAGTAGAGATGGGATTTCACCGTGTTGGCCAGGGTGGTCTCTAACTCTTGATCTTGTGATCTGGTCTCCTTGATTTCTTAATGTCTATTGTTAACATATAATGACATATAATATATATTTTAATCATATATAATATATAATTATATATTATATATTAATATATTACATAATATATACTAATTAAAATATTATTGTATATATTAATACTATACATTATATTGTCTTGTCAGTTAGTTGTAATTATATATTATATATTAATATATTACATAATATATACTAATTAAAATATTATTGTATATATTAATACTACACATTATATTGTCTTGTCAGTTAGTTGGAGTTATATAATATGAAAGTATAGAGAATAAAATATAAAAATATATTTACATATTATATATTTAATATCAATTAGTATGTAATATTAATATTAATATTTAATACATAATTTATAATAGATACTGTTATATATGGATTCAAAGTTTCTTAGATAAGATTTTCGGTTCAGATGAGAAATATGTAATTTTGTGAATTATTTATTTTTTTCTTCGTTTTAATGGGCCATACCTCCCCAATTTTATTCCTTCACCGTAGGAGTTTGAGACCAGCCCAGGCAATTGAATGAGACTCTGTCTCTACAAAAGTAACCATCAAGACATTAGCCCGGCATGTGATAGTATGCACCTTGTAGTTCCAGCTGTTCAGGAAGTTGAGGTGGGAATATTGCTTGAGGTCAGGATATTGAGGCAGTAGTGAGCCATAATCATGCCACTGCATTCTAGCTCTGGGTTGACAGAGTGAGACCAGTTTCATAAAAAGAGATTCATAAGACACTCTTGATGCGACTCATTATAATTTGTAAAGTGGAAACTCATTCTTGATATTACCTTAGCAGCGTGTCCCCGAGAAAGTGTCGGAGCCTTTACCTCGACCTTCCCATGAAAAAGGGAACAGAATAGTCAACGGAAAAGGAGAAGGTGAGAACCGTATTTTATTGAAAAAGTCATTGGACGGAACGCTTCTTTTCAAATACGAGTACCAAGATAGTCTAATAGCTAAATAAAATGTCCTGTTAACTGTATAATAAGTAAAGGAGAAGTCAAATGGTGATAAGTTGTGTCTCTAACCAAGGGTCCGCAGTTGATGCTACTGCGAGTACCACTAAAGGAACTGAGTTATGAGTTCCATTTTAAGATACTCTAAGACCTGAGGCAAGTCAAGAAAGAGGGGAGAGGAAATGAATAAAACAGAAAGAAGGCATGAGGAGGGCGGAGGAGTGTACATGGAATCAATAAAAAAAAAAAAATGTGGGTGTATGTAATGGAGGATAGTGAAGTCAAACTGTTCTGTAGAAGAAGGAAGAACAGGGTGTCAGAAATAGGAAGGGAGATAAAGGGAGCTTCCAATAGGAAAACGTGTCAGAGAATGAGAGTGACATGTTCCTCCTCTTGCTGTCACCCTCACTCCTGGGGAGGCATTAAGGATTGAGGTACGTTACCACACAGAACTGTGTTTTATCTACCGTAGATGAGTGTCACCAAAAATGGTCAGCCACGTATGGCTAGAACTTAGTTTTGTAGAAAACGTTGTAACCTCACGGGATAGTATCATATAGGTCAAATTAACATAATTGAAAGGAATAGTGTTGGGTGACTGATGGAGAAGAAACAAATTAGAGAAGGTCCTGCCTGATGACAAGTTCATGAGGAACACTATGGCTTACAATGTAGTATTAAATTCAGGGATAAAATAGGGAAGAAACTGAGGCTAAACCAAAAAGGGCAACTAGGGTAAAAAAATACGGAAGCACATCGGTAGAGAACAGGCCATTCAAATTTTCATGAATCAGTTGAGGAACTTCTGGAAAATACACACTCTGATCGATTCTGCATTTCTCATGAGTACTCAGGTGCTGTTGGTGGTGCTGGTCCTTAGACACAGCTCTGAAGAGCAAGGCAATAGCCTTCCTTTAGAGAAATGTGGAAAAACAACCATTGGACCGCAATTTACAAAACAACAGAATCAAGGGCGAGCATAATTCAAGCCACAGGGAAAGAGTATGAGATGAAAAAACAGAAATTATGGGTAGACACCACTGCTGAATACAGACGAAAAAAGTGGTTACAATTATCCATAGAAAAAGCAGTTCGGAAGGGAAGCATCGGGACGACAGATCTGAAGATTCCTTTTTCAAAGGAAGAGCGATTGTGGAAGAAGGAGGAGGGAGGAAAGACAGACATTCGCTGCAGTCTCGGGAGTTAAAGCGAAGTCAACCTGAGACAACTGATTTCCAGTTGCTTCAGCATATGCCCAGTCTCACAAAAGAGGTTATTGCTGTGGAGAGTACTGTAGGCAGGAGGGATGCTAGAATTGGGGTAAACCACTGCAGCCCATTTCACTTCATAAATGTCAGGCCTCAGACAGAGAAGTCTCATTGACATGAGTGAAAAAGATGTGATTAAGTTGCGTAAAGATGCTTCGGCCAATGTGTTTGAAACAGCCAGCTCTTTGATATGATAGGTGTTTTATAAAAATCCTGTGCAGTGTCAGATGATATACCAACCTTAGCTAAATTTAGAAGCGACCACATTATAAAATTCATTCTGATTTATTATGCTTTGCATTTAGTAAATACACTGGGAAGTAACATTTCTTGTTGCATTAATTAAATACCACTAATTATGATTAATGTTTATTCTAATAAGGTCCCAGGCGAGCTCCCAAAGGAATGCTTTGTAACAAAGCGTCAGTCTTATGCTTTAAAAGACAAAACAAAACAAAACAAACAAGAACAAAAACAGGACCTAAAGCATACACACAGGTGTGCACAAGTTTTTTTCTTACTAAGGTAGAGTCTTGCTTTGTTTCCCAAGCTGGTCTCAAACTTCTGGGATCCTCGAGTGATCCTCCTGCCTCAGCCTCCTGAGTAGTTTGGATTACAGGCATGCATCACTGGGCCTTCTTATGCTTTTAATATTCTGTACCTTTATTATTGATTTAAAATGCATTTTGCCTGTTTCTTTAATAGATGTTGGAAGTTCTGATGAATCTGCAGTCAGGTAGGATTGTACAGATTTAAAAAATTATGTTAACCAAGGAAATACAGGTGGAAGGAACTAACATCTGTTGAGTGTTGTATTCAGGGTAGACATCCTATGGCACTTATCGTCTCATAAAGCCATCACAACATCTGTGTTCCTATCAACTACTGTTTGTTTAAAAAACGAGTATGGGTTGGAGCAGTGGATTAATTGGCTCATGATCTTCTAGTTAACAAAGTAGCTGACCCACTTTGATTGTCAGCCTGCCTGCCTTCCAAATCCCTTCTCTTGTTCCTCAGCATAGGTTGATAGACATCCATGCAGCACTTGGAACATGGTATACATCTGAAGCAGCTTAATTACATTCATTAATTTAATTAACATCTAAATTAATGAGAGTTTAAATACCTTCAACACCCATTTAAGGTTATCGTTAGAAGGTGGTCAGTCCAGAGTCTGTCATCATAAATTTGACAATTTCAGTGGGAACCGGGATCTTCTTTTTGCCATCAGAAGTTTTAGGGCTGATCTTACTTAGCTTTGGCCATGAGACTGTAAGTTTTACAAAAGCAAGTTTAGGCAAGTCTTAGAAAGTATTTGATTTCTCAGTTTTGCTTTCATTTAGGCTAGTATTTCTGCTTACTTCCATCATACTTTTGGTAGTCTTGTTTATTTTTCCATGAATTTTCTATAATCATGTCTTGAGGTTTTTAAAACGTTCTTCTGTTTTTTTTTTTTTGTCTTTGTTATTTCTTTAATTCTATTTGTTTTTTCAAATTCTGCTGGCTATGTATTCCCAGAATCAGAAGCACATAGAATTACAGAATTTTAAGGAATCTTAGAATGAATTAAAACACGTTCTAGTATTGTCACGTCTGTTGAACATTCTGGTCAAGGGATCGTTTAGATAGAAAACTTGAGTCTCAGAAAGATTAGGATTCAAGAAGACATAGGAATTGGAAGAAATGAGATTTGTACTCATGTTAAATCCCAGTATTCTTCCTACTTTTTATATCCTATTGGCCTGAGTTTTGGTAATACAAACGGGAGTGTGTCTCGTGCACCCAGTGTCTAGAATGAGTGTGGAATTGACTAGTGAAGCCAATGAAAGCGGGTAAGAATGGAATGGGCAGGGCAAGGCCAAGTTTGAAGAGAAACAATGATCGATCGATAAATTCCAAAGATGACCGACACACAGAATGATGGGAATTATCTACAAAGGCACCTTAAAATAGAAGGTTCAAGGGAGCTCTAAAAACTTTGCCGCCTTTTTTTTTTTTAAATTTATCAAGGACTGACAGGTTTTTACTGAAAGATGTTAAAACATTTTGAGACACTGAAGGAGTGGCTACAGCAGAGAGAAATCTTCGTGGCACCATCTACTTCCATCCTGACTTACAGAAGGTGGTTTAGAGCCCCTGGAATACTAAGGGGCTAGAGATTGCTGAACTCTACATAGCTCTGTGGCCCAGGACAGGTGGTCTCCTCACCTCTGCCTCTTTTCCTAATTCGCTGATGTTCCTTCCCTTGTTCATGTAGGCTGGGTCAGGGGCATGATTGGATGGCAAGTCAGTCATGGAGTTCAGCTGGGTAGCTGGTAGTGCGTCTGTGCTGGGGGCAGGTGATGGAGAGTCCAGTTAGCTTGTTTTTCAGGAGCAGGGATATAGACAGCTCGTATACTTGGTCATTTGAGGCCATCCTTTCAGGAATCAGTGCTTTCAGAGACTGAAGATTTGAAGGTTGGAGACTTCTGTGGAGCCTTGCAGAAGTGGAATCTGGAAGTTGGAGCCCATAGGAAGAAAGATATTGAGATGGTACTTAGGGAAATAGAGGCACAACTACCAGGACTCTATTTTTCCAGCATTCTCTTTCCTTGGGTATATGAGTGCCTACGAACATTTTTGAGGGCTTGCTAGTTTATGTGGACCTGAATAAAGTAAGGGCCTATAGAGTGAAGATAATGGGATTTTATAATTGTTAACGTTTTAATCTTTCTGGCAGGAGTATTCTCAATAAGAACGTACACCTCTGCTCTTTGACTTTTGGACATTTAGCTTTCCTACATTTCAGCTATTGCAGGGGTTTCCCTGTACTGATTTAGGGAAAAGGAAAGCAATAGGACCTTCCAGAGTGGTTTCCCTGCTGAGGAATCAAGACTGCCATTTTGAGGCGAAGCAGATTCGTCTTTTAACCAGAGATAGATCATGGGCAAGGGACAGTGGATCTCTCTACCTTGTTTTAGGTCATCTGTTTTAGGTCATCAGTTTCCTTCCAGATTAGGTAACACAATTGATGTCATCCATTAAGTGAATTTTAAGCTCAGCTTCAGGTCGGATAATTTGTGAGGGTCAATTATTGTCAGGCTCTGCCAGTATATTGACCGTCACTACTGGCGATAGAGCTCAAGGTCAGTTTTCATTGAATATGTTACAGATTTAGACAGGTGGAGGCAGCGATAGGTAACCAGAATCTTTTACAGCAGGGGACATATTTTAATTATATCAAGAATCATTATTTAATACCTAGATCACTGGCCTTTCCCCAGATTATGTTTTCCTTTTCTGAGGGGGAAGCTGGATAGAAACCAGCAGATAAAAAAAATTGTAGAGAAATCAACTTGCTCATTTTCATTGTACATGTTTGCTTTCAAGCCTGTTCCACGAACTGTGTGTGGATTCATTGCCTACATCACATCGGATGAAAAAGACTTGAGTGTAGCTACGAAGTTAAAGTGATCTCTTGTAAAATTAATTTTCTCACTCTGCATCTAGTTTTGCATAGTATTTACTTTTAAAAGGGAGCAATGGTGTACTGTTTATCATAGTTTGACAGTGGTAATGGAAAGTCGGTCAGAGAAAAACACACATATTGGCTAGTTGATTCAAATAATTATTTGTTTACCATTGGTAACGAAGAAAGACTGAAAAGTACCGTGACAGGATGTGAGCTGAGAAAAATGAACTGGAAAATTAAGTCGTGACAGGAAAATCACATTAGGAAATGCTTTCTCCAATGGAGGAAACATGAAATTTGGTTAAGGTTTATTTGGATAAATACTAACACTTTGACTTTTCAATCATTCGAGGGTAACTATCATATTTATGCTCGTATAAATCTTCAGGGGATCAAATTATTTGCGCTAATCATGGAATCCCCCAGTACCTTTTAGTTGCAAACACGTTGAACACATTGCCTATGACCTTTTTTTTTTTTTTCCTTCCTGGAAACTTATAATTTTGGTATCATACAGTTTTTAGGAGAGATTGTTTCTCTAGTTATGTTATTGGTTCTGTTGTGAGACGAATATTACAAGTTGTAGAACAATGGCTGAGTGTAGTGGTGTAGATCTGTGTGATCCCTGCTACTTGGGAGTTTGAGGCAAGAAGATTGCTCGGGCCCAGGAGTTTGAGAGAAGCCTGGGCAACATAACAAGACTGTATCTGACTTAAAAATATAAATCATAGAAATGTGGAAATTTAAATTTTTGCTCTCAAAATTGGTACCGCAAAGGGATTTTTTTTGGTGTGTTTTGTAAGCTGTCCATGAAGAGTTTCCATGAAACTTCATCTGTTGCTGCAAATAAACAGTTCTCGAAGCAGAGACTCTTAATACCAATATGGTAATACTTCACTGTCATAATTTTGTCATTGTAGTTTATCTAAACTATTGACTTGGCCGGGCCCTGTGGCTCAAGCCTATAATCCCAGCGCCGTGGGAGGCACAGGTTGGGGATGACCCGAGGTCAGGAGTTTGAGATCAGCCTGGCCAGCATGGTGAAACCCTGTCTCTGCTAAAAATAAAAAAATTAGCTGGGCATGGTGATGGGTGCCTGTAGTCCAAGCTACTCAAGAGGCTGAGGCGGGAGAATCGCTTCAACTCAGGACGCGGAAGCTGCAGTGAGCCAAGATCACACTGTTGCACTCCAGCCAGGGTGACAGAGCAAGACCACATCTTAAAACATAAAATGACCACTCAAAGTCCATCCATCACATTCTGAAATTTTGGGTTTTGGAAGTTTTTAGGTTTCCTTGTTTAAAAAATCATTGAAAGCGCCTGCATACCATGGGCCACTGGAGGTCAGCAAACATATTTGTGTGTATCCTGGAGTACCTAGAACACAGTCTTCCGTGTAAGCAGCATTTTCACGGCTGTTTTTTGAGAGGGGGATTCACTCTGTAACGCAGGCTGGAGTGCGGCAGCGAGACCTTGGCTCACTCCTATCTCCATTTCCTGGGCTCAGGTGATCCTCACACTTCAGCCATCCAAGTCGTTTTGACCGTTGACCTGTGTCACCATGCTGGGCTGATTTCTGTAGTTTCTGTAGAGACGGGGTTTTGCCTTGTTGCCCAGGCTGGTCTTGAACTGTTGGGCGCAAGTGTTCTGTCGGCCTCAGCCTCTCAAAGTGCTGGGGTTTACAGGCGTGAGACATTCAGCCTTCATCGTTGCTTCATCTGAATAAATAGACAAATGAATTTTTCTCTCATGGAATGTGTCAAGTCATACACCTCATGTATCTAACGATTCAATATTTAAAATATTGCTTACCTTTGTATTACATTTTAATATTTAAGGATGTGTAAGTTTTGAGGTGTTATGTTGAGAAATTATGCCATCCATAAGAAGGAAATAAATTAGAAATAGGTCATCAGC